AAGCAAAGCTAATTAAAAAATTGCAGGGATGCAGGGTGAGGGTAGGAGTGACAGCGAGGCAGAGGACTTCTGAGTTCAAGCCTCATGCAGGTTATTGAGACGTTCCGTGGGCAAAGTTCAGTTTGCATTCGAGTTGAAGTATTAAAAGATTTCAATTTAATGCGTCACTTTGTTTTTTTACTTTTTGTTTCATTGCACACATTTTTAAATTTAATATTTCATTGAAATTCTTTCCACCTCAATATAGAATAGTTTCTTCAAACAAAGTAAATTTGGTTTATTAGTCTTTTATTTTCTTTTTGGTCTTTTTGTTTTGTTCCTAATAACTGGTGCTGGAAAGAGGGGTCTTCTTATAAACAGGGTCGTCCTATATTCGGGTCAGTATGGTACCTTCTTCGCATTATTACATGGTGGTTGCAGCTCCATCCCTTAAGAAAATACTGACTAAGTATTTGTGGAAGCAAAATCCTTTTGATTTTTGTTATACTATAGGGAAAAAGTACCTGTGTGGAAATTCAAATCAAATATATAGAAGTTGTATAATAGGGTATGCAGAAAAAGTTCAATGGGTAGAGCTACTTTGCAAGGCAGGCTAATACTATATGTACTTGCATAGGTGAACATAATTCTGAATATTGTTATGAGCTGTTTTCACCTAAATTTGCATTGCAAACACGTTTGAAGTGTAGGGATCAAAACCCGTCCTCTGCCCACCACGGTGGCTTTACTTATCTCGTCCTTTTCCACAGACTTCTAAATGTACACAGACACGCTTGTGTTCTCAGGGGACGTAGAAGTCTGTTAAAGCAGGAATCACAAGTTCATCCGTTGCTCGTCTAAAACCGGGGAGCGCTGAAATTCATCACAGGATCAGACTGTTTCTCATCAAACCTAGGAAAGTGTTGCTAATGCAATTTCACTAAGTCACTGCCTGACTTGATTAGCTGTGGGCTGGGGAGTGCATGGTTAGACACCACAGGGGGCTCGATGGGTGTCACTGTGTGTGGGAGTGGGTTTTAGCTTGTGGTGTTGCATCTCACATTCCGTCGAGGTGGGTTTTGCCATATTTAAAATCACAAACAGAGTGTATGTGAGGCAGCATCCATACGCCTTTGCTCTGTAATGCAGGGCTGTTATTATGCACTGCTGTGTGTCATGTCTGCTTAGGTGTATGGACAGGTGTTGCAGACAGAGCTGTGGCCCTCAAGGGGGATTTCAGGCAGATTTGGCTACATTAGAATTCGTCACCTCTTCCTGCCCACATCTCACTTGCCATCCCACTGAGTGCCATGCCACCTCCACACGCTCCCCTCGCTAATCCTAAATCAGACTTCATCTCCGGAGACACAAAAAGGCACAAACACACAACCTGAGTACACAGATTCAATCAAACTGGCTCTCACAAACAAAATCAAACTTTAGTGGGCTGTGTCGAGACAGAACTGGCTGGAGTTTGGTGACATCCTGACCTAAAATCAGAGCCACCCTGTCACGTCTTGGCAGCTCTGAAAAATACCATGCATATTAAAACACCTCTAATTAATATTCATCAGCGCCATGCCCTGTTGGCAGCTGGTCCCAGACCCGTCGGATCTCGCTCCTTTGTCTGACACGGATGCAGATGTTTAGAGCATGAAATTAAATTGGTCGCCGTCATTTGGGAATGCATAAATGCTAGTCTGTTCACGGCATGTGTTTGTGTGTCTTTTCCAGTTTCCGGTTGGCTGTGGCTCTCGGAGCAAACAAGTACCGCCACCTTCCCCCAGAGATTGTGACATGTTGATTTTTATTCATGGCAAGTTGAATGGTTGCAAGTTAGAGATAAACAAAACAAAAGTTTTGCATGCTCTTTTGACACCAATGATCGGTGAGTGGGAAAGAGAAAAGTGGAGGGTATGATGAATCAAGAAGGATGGGTGCGTTGGCGGCAGCTTTGTTTTGGAGTCTGCAATTGAGTCTTAATTGAATTGGCACTGAAGGTAGATGAATGGATAGTGTGATGGAGAAAGACAAAGTTTGAGAGAATTGGACCACATCTCTTTGTCTGCACTTAGCAACAAGAAAGTGGGCTCACCGTGCAGGGAATTTTCACGGCAACAGATCAGAATCAGAAACCCTTGACTGAAGAGCAAGGATGGGAATGAAAGCTTCTCTTGTCATTTTAATGAAAATACGGAGCATGTTGTCTGCCACACTTGTCAAATGAAACTTGTTCCATTAGAAATGTATTCAGGAGACCTGCACAGGGAACAATGGGCCGATATGCATTTGAATGCAAGGCTAGGCAGACTACCCAGGTAATACAGAATAGGTTTCTCTACTGTAGGTGTCTTTATATTAAAGTACATGAGCTTTACAAGTCCATAATAACCACCAAAGCATGGCAAAGCAACAAATGGAAACAACAGAATAAGAAAAATATGCACACAAACAAACATATATTTATATATACTTTTGATTCTGGTCATGGAAATGTTTTGCACATATGTAGATTCCTTTTCTTTCTACTTATTTGATGATTTTGAATTATAAACAGTTAAATTGGAAAAAAAACAACCTTTACAAATAAAAACCAAACCCTCCAAACCAACCCTATGTGAAAAAGTAATTAAATCCTTTTGCGATACACTGGTCATCCCACAGTTGGCTGCAAAAATAGCCAATATTTCTGCTGACGATTCTAAGTAAGTTGTTCAGGTCCTGAAGCAGCAAATCAGTCCCAGACAGTCCCAATAACACACAGTCTGGATGATGTTCTTTTTTTTTGTGATGCCAAAAAGTTCCACTTTATTTAATTATTTCGCAATATGTGAACCCATAAACCAAACCCATTTATGGAAAACCAAAAGGTGTGAATGTAGCAAATGTTAGATTGACTTTTCTCATATCTTCGGTCAGCTGTGGCCTTTCACCTTCAGCTTTGATGTCATCGCTGCCTCTTTTTTTTTATTGTTAAATAATCACGGTCTTTTGTAGCAGTGGTCTCCAACCTGTTTTGCACCGGTTTAATGTCAGACAATATTTTCACGGACCGGTCTCAAGCATTAATACCCTCTGGTTGCTATGGTAACATTAAACATGCTTTTGAAATAAGGCACGGAGAAAAACAAAGTGTCTGAAAACAACCTGCTAACTACTCCCAATAGCATTGATTCAGTGGAAGCAGGGAACTTGTTTTGCTGCAACAAGAAGGTGGGAGTTTACATCGGGAGGGATCACTTGATCTACGATCCTGTCGACGAGGTATATCAATAGCCCGCCAAATGGGTGTGCTTCGATAGCACAGTGTTTAGTGCACACAATCCATGTATGAAGGCCTTAGTCCTCAACACGGCAGACCTGGGTTCCAATCTGACCCGTGCTCCTTTGCCACATGTCTCCCTCTCTCATACCTCCTCTGTAACCCCCCTTCTCTCTTGATTTAACCCCTCCCTTTGGTTAAATGCAATGGGCTGCCATTATGCGGCGCCCGGGGAGCAGAGTGGGGTTAAGGGTTTGCTCAGAGAGCCAGAGTGGCAGTCTGTGGGAGTGGGGCTCGAACTCAGAGCCTCAGGATTCCAAACACTGTGCCCTAACCACTAGCCCTGTAAATTTGGAAATTTATTAAAAATTAAACACCAGAGATGGAAAAAATAAACCTGCAGGAAATAATGAAAGTTGCTTATTCTTTTTGTGCAGCTTGACACCAAATGACACGCAGACTGGGCGTTGGGAATAACTGCTCTTTCACAGACGCTGGGTGCTTGTCTGAATTTCATTCACAGACCATTGAAAAGTACAGAATGCATATTTAATAATTCAACCATCAATACATCAGCATTTTGCCTTTTGTTCAATTTTCCCCTATGCAATCTTATTAAGCAATGTGAATGTATTGTAACTGTTAATAGTAAATATATCATAATTGCTTGCTCTTTAGCTGTCGTTCATCTCTTTGATGGACTTATATGTAAACACATGTGCATGAGCTCAAGCGTGATATTCTTTGAAAACATTTGTGCGGGCCCACATGCACACAGATAGCTCCTTTCACTCTGTGTTTGGCCATATCGACAACAAGTGGCAATTTCTTTCTCTGTCAAATCTATTGATTACTTCTGGATGAGTGAAGGTAATGAGCTTTGGTGTCCTTTGTCTCCCCTGTGATCTCACCTTTTCCCTTTCTGCAGCAGACTCACCCACCCCTAGGATGTTACTTGGCAATGATTTTCTGATTAACCCCGTTGGCTGGAGGGTTCACCCACACACTGACGCAGGGGCGTGAAGGGGAGTGAGCATGTTAGATGCAATTAGATTTGTGATGGAGAGCCATGTTGATTAAGTGATGTGCCTGCTATGGGTGTACTGTACCCCTGCAATGATTAAATCTTCGGACCCTCTTTTTTTTCTTCTTTTAAACTAATCTAGGTTTGATTAAAAGTATTGATTATTGCCAGTGGTTTGAGGCTAAAAACCCACTGCCCATCACAGTTAGCTATGACAACAGAGGAAGACTTTACTCTATATTACTAGAATGAATTTTGTATTTTATTGCTTTTAGGGTGGTTATAATATATTAGAATCTAAGATAAAATCCAAACAAACCCTATTTGCTCTATACTTACTATCAACCAATATTTTTTAATAATGGTGCAGAGGTCCACTAACAGAAGATTATTATTATTAAATCAAGATAAGGAAAATGTTATTAAAATGTAATGATCATTTAGAAATTAAATGAATCTGAATTATCGGTTTACTTCATAACAATATTTAATGATTTCAGAAGGTTTTTTGTCGTCAAACTTTTGCATAATGAAGGTAAACAAAGATTTGTGCTAAATTGCCACCTCCTCCATCACAAAATAAAGCTCCTTATATTCTGTTTTTGGAAATGTATAACTAAATCTTTCTCAATGCCAGAGAAGAGTCAGTTTTATGATTTATGTTTTTGGGTTGAACACAAAGACAATAAAAGTGGCTTCTTACCAATAGAAACCCACTCCCTGCCTGTGTTTTAGGTGGTGCTGATGACAACCTGATTGAAGGTGGAGAAATGAAGTTTGTGTGCAAGCCAGGAGCGAGGAACATCACCGTGATCTTCCAGCCTCTTCTAAGGTAAATAAAAGAATAGTTTCTTAATTTTCAAACAAATAAAAATGAATCTAAAGATGGATTCTGTCTTTTTTTGTGTTTCGTTTGTAAAGCTAGAAACCAGCAACATAAAATAGACAAAACATTTAGGAGAAAAAAAGAGATTTAATATTGAAATACTGGTTCCTAACTTTTAATGTGCCAAAATAGTTTTATCTTTATTCTTTACTGGAGATGTTTGTACAACATGTGACTGTGTGTGAAGGACCTCTTTTGTCATGCTGGTCTGACAGAGAAGGATGGTCGAGCTACTTAAGACCTATGATGCCTGGGACATGACTCAATACCAGTAAAATGTAAAACTAATTATATTACGCAGCCTCTCAGTGACCAGCTATTGATTTAAGCTGTTTCACGTTAAACAGAGTAACATAAATCAAACATTTGAAGGGATGGATGTCAGGTCTGCTCTTTTATACAAACCTTAAATTGGGATTGACTGCTAGCCTTGCTTTCATTTCCTTTCAGGCTGCTCTCCTCTGAAGGTCTGTTTTTGTCTTAATATTCTGTATATCTGCTAGTTTTCTTGAGAGTTCTATAGTCCCAGTAGTGCAGATTAAATCTAATACTGGAACGCTTTGATTGAATTGATGTTCAGGCAATGATGCATTACCTTCTAGGATCCATTAAACTGGCACATTTCCTTCCTCCACACATACGTGGAATTGTACAGCATGCCGTGTTTCTATATCATCTAAAATGGGAGTTATGCTGCCCTAATTTGCTGTAATCTGGGAAGTTGGCAAATATTTTGAATCTGAAGTCTTTTGAACTAAAAAATATCTAGTTCAGTACAAGTTATTCTTTCACTTGGTAAATATATATATTTCATTTTTTCACTTTTTTAGGCATTAGTAGTCTTTATTTTGCTGTAGCTGTGCAAACTTCGAATCACTGCTTTTAAAGGACATCCTCTGTATATGGTCACTGGCTCTACCTCTACACCATGTGCTGCACACAATACAGATATATGTTGAAAGTAAAAAAAAAAAAGTATTAATTCACAATAAAGCTTCTATATTAATTTTCCCTCTCCTTATTCTTGGTCCAGCCTCTTACTAAATTAAACAAATCAGGTCAGTTATGACAGATTGCACATCAGTTACAACAAGCATTTCACATTTCCATCTGCTTAAGTTACACTGGCAGTTGCCATACTGCTTTTTGCCTCATTGATTGATAGTCACTGAACACATCCTGTCTATTTAGAATTAGAAGAAGATTAAAGACAAACTTAATCTGTAAAGTCAGGGAAATGATAAGTTCATCCCTCTCTGAACTTATAAGTTTGAGCACATTGAACATGTTTTGATTTTTATTTTGATAATTTTTTAAAGCTAAAATAATAAACAGAATGCCATAAAAAAAAGACAAAAAAGCAAGCAAATCTGCTTTAAAAAAAAAACCCACTTTAAATAATTTTTAGCTGTAGATTGGCAGCTCAGGTCCTGAGCTCCCTCCTCTTTCTTTCTGTTGGGCTGATGTATGTGATTCAGACACTTCTTGTTGCCCTTATAAATGGTAAATGGCATGTACTTATATAGCGCCTTTTTCAAGTCAAGAGACTTGACCAAAGCGCTTTACACTACATTCATTCACCCATTCACGCACACACTAACACACTGATGGTGGCAAGCTACATTGTAGCCGAAGCTGGGGCTCACTGACAGAAGCGGGGCTGCCGTACACTGGCGCCACCGGGCCCTCTGACCACCATCAGTAGACAATGCAGGTGAAGTGTCTTGCCCAAGGACACAACGACAATGAAAGTCGGAGCCGGGGCTTCAACCGTCAATCCTTCGATTTCAGGGCAAACTCCTACATCCAACGACTGATTTGTTGTGTTCTTGTTGAAAAGGTTTATATTAAAGACTTTACAGTGGGCACTGGTTGGAAATGGACGGTTTCCTGCATGATTCCTGTGTGATTCCTGTGTGAATCACGATGTATTCAAAAGGGTATGTAAGAAAATATATTTTCTTTAGTTTTGTAAAATATAAGTGCCGTTGAAAGCTTTGTTTTTGTGTGTTACACTGTTTTTGTGTGTTACTTTCTTGCCGTGCAATACGTGACACCCCTCCCAGTCTGGTCAAGTAGCAGACTGGGAGGGAGTCACGTGTTGCAAGCTTATAGCGTAGAGGTTAAGCTGAGTGGTCTGTGGTTCAACAGATTGCGGGTTCAATCCCAACTGTGGCTGAGTTGCCTTAAATGTTTTTTTTTTTTTTTTTTTTATCGCTTTTTTATAAAGTAATGAAAGTTAGAATGTAAAGTAATGAAACCAGGTTTTCTATTTTTGAAACAACAATTGGAGTTATTCGTTGGACATTCACGCATGAGCCTCCCATGTATAAAGGGAGGAGCTGAGCAGCTCCTTTAGTCAGAGACTTACAGTAGACACCCTGTCTGTAAAAAGGAGCGCTACCGCAGGTCATTCGTTCCTGCTGCCACCAGACTCTATAATAATGCACTATATCAACAATAACTCCTGTAAAATGTGTCTGTCTCGCTGTCAGCTCCCAGATCAGCTTCTCTGATTGATGCGGCGCTTCCAGCATAATGGGCGTATTGTTATACTATTTTTTATTTATTTTTGTTATTTTTATTATCATCTAGCTGGTAAAATTTTCAGTTTGATCTGGAAAAGGACGCTATGATGCCTTACAACAAGCATGAAAGGCCCAACCCCCCAGGCTTTTTGGGCACATTATGCAAGAATGCTGCTTGCTGCCGCGATGAATAGCGGCGTTTCTACAGTAAACTGTTGTCAGGGATGGCTGTGACCCACCCAAAAGTCAGTGAGCTAATCCGGTTTATTCCCATTTTAAATCATGCTACGTTAAAGTCACTCAAATCACCTTTCTTCCCCATACTGATGCTCGGTTTGAACTGCAGGAGATTGTCTTGACCATGTCTACATGCCTAAATGCACTGAGTTGCCGCCATGTGATTGGCTGCTTAGAAATTAAGTGTTAACAAGCAGTTGGACAGATGTACCTAATAAAGTGGCCGGTGAGTGTACATTTATACTTTTCAGAACTCCCAGCACACTCTCTCTCTCTCTCTCTCTCTCGTGAAACTAAACCCACCCCTGCACAAAAGAGCTTTCTCACACACTTGAAGAAAAGAAGGAAAACAACTTATATTCACCAAAGACATAAATCCATCCAGATAAACATTTCAGAACAACTGTTTTCTCTTCATGACATCAACTGTCTGGAGCTCACAACAGAAGGAGGATCTGAGAACCTTGAACACATTAAGGACATGTTTATCCTTGTCTAGAGTAGACGGGCAACTGCTTTTTATCATCCCCGCTTCAACTGCCTACATTGCAGCAGAGATTGGAACGTTACTTTTATTTAGGCAAGGACAAGCAGCCAAACAGGAACAGACGAGATAAAGCTACCATTGAGAGAACATGCAGATTTATTTATTAATCTTTTTATACAAGCACTTTCCTAGGCAGACACAGACCAATTAGCCACCCAGAAGAACAAGGGATGGCTATTTGCTTGGAATGATCCTAGTAGGATGGACCTTCATGCTGCTTAAATACATTAGCAGTCCAACTACTGATTGCTCTCTTGCAAGCCGACCAAAATGACTAAAGCCAGGCATACACTGTATGATTTTCAGGGTGATTTTCCAGTCGTGCGAGAATCTTTCGATCGGGCAGACTTTCAGCTTCATCGTGTTTCGTTAGTTGGTAGTGTACAGGGGGTAACGAGGGGCGATAAGCCTCTCACAACCACCTCCCGATCAGGAATCGTGAGGTCAGGGGAAAATCAAACATGTTTGATTTTCTCCTGACCGTCGTGGGCGAATCGCTCAGTGCGCATGTGCAAACAAGGATTCTTCTGTAAACACAGAAACATGGCAGGGATGCAATGAGTGAAATGGAGTTATGTCTGTAAAATTGACAGACCATAGTAGCCATGTTTGCTCAGTCATGTCTTTTTCCCAAATATTTCGCCGCCTTTTGTTTTTAGGGCTTTCAGCACAAAATTGCACAATTAGTTCAGGCAGCACGTTTCACTATGGTGGCCTTAATATTCTGCTTCTATTTGTTTGGCTTCCAGATAGACGAGTCAGAGCAGTTCCATATCACTGCGGAGCTGAGTCCAACGTTCTTTTTAGTCGTGCAGTGTGAGCAGGTAGATCGTATGAGAGGGTCGTGCTGCACATACATCGTGAGCTGTGAACTCAGATTGTACGACGAAGCCCGCACAGTGTATGCCCGGCTAAAGACTCCTGGATAGATGTTGAAATGTCTTCAAATAACTTAGTGAAAGCCAGGTTGCTGTCTGATTTAAGCTTGCTTTGTAATACAGCACTTAGCTTTACTCATTAACAGCTACCCAATCATTTATACTGGAAAATTCATATATGGAATGTTAAGAAGCCTTTTGTGTAATTTTATATTATTTTTAGAGAGATTACTAAAAATAAAACTATTGTAAAGGACCACTCTTTCCCTCAAGATGTTAAAAAATTTTTACACCAGTATGAATATTATCTTGATAACTGAAACCAAATTCTCTTCTTGACATAACCCTCTCCTTTTATCTGGGCTTGGGACCAGCACCAGGAGCACATTAGGACTGTGGACCCCTTGTGGCAGGATTATTATGTGTGTGTGTGTGTGTGTGTGTGTGTGTGTGTGTGTGTGGGTATGTGCGTGTGTGTGTGTGTGTATATATGAAGTGTAATGGAGGTATGTGTAAAGGTGTTATGGATTTTTTTTTTAGAATTTTTTTAAATAAATTTTTGTTTGTATCATCAATAAATGTTTGTATTTATAATAAATATATATTTTTTGTATAAATACATTTGAGTATGATGTAAGAAGACAAAGTAAGGGTGGGCTAGCCGGAGCACCCGGAGAGAACCCACACAGGCACGGGAGAGTATGGCAGCTCCATGCAGAAAGGTCTCCTTCTACAAGGGAACAGCACTGATCACTGCTCCACCGTGCAGCCCCACTCTGTTTACCAGGATCTAATCAATACCAAGGTAGGAATCTACCTTAGAAAAAGACCCTGGTATTGAGGCAGTACTTTTTTATTTAAAGGGAACCATAGAGTTTTATGGAGGGTGAGGGCTAAATATTATGGACTGGATTATGGATTTAGTGAATGGGTGTGGGGAGTTAAGGGTTAAAGGAAGGGTTAAGGGTAACGGTTATAGGGAAGGGGGGTGGGGGTGTTGGGGGGTAATTGTAAAGCGTGTAGGTGATAAGGTTTGAGATCTGGGGCTCAGTAAATATTTTTTCAGTTTTAAGTTTGTTTGGAGGACAGTTTCTTGAGGTTTAGCAGAAATTATTTTTCTGACTGATGGCATTGAAAGAGGTTGAAAATTCTTTTCCTTAAAGATTTATTTTTTGGTTTTCTTTCTTGGGATCTTTCAGTCTCCTGTTGCAGATTTTTGAACTCCTCTATAAGGCTCTCTGTTAATCTTTTCTTCTCCTCCTCCATCTCTGTCAGAGCCTTCTTAGCGTTTGCCACTGTCTCTTGAAGGCAGGACTTCTCTGTTTGCCACAGCTGCCTTTCACAATGCAGAACCTCCTGAAGGTGTTTCATAGCTGCTTCCATATCTCTAAGAGTGTTCTGCTGCTCTGTCAGGAGACTGGACTTTTCCTGGGCCCAGACCTGTGTTTGGTTCTTCACATCTTGTTCCATCTTGAGCAAAACAGCTTTTATGTCATTGGTTTCCTGCTCTTTCTGAGCTAAGCAGATCTCAGCCTCCTTTGTTCTGGCTGTCTCAGCAAGCAGACTAATTTCCAGATCCATGACTTTTCTTGCAGAAGCTTTCCCCTGCTCTAACTCAGCTTCCTGTAACTCCAACTGCTTTTTCAGCTGCTCACACTCATCTCTTTGTTGTTGGTTGGACATAAAATGGGATTTTTCTTCCTCCAACTGCTGCCGCTGTTCCTCCAGATCTTTCTGCATTTTTTCCATTGCAGCCTTGATTTCACTGGTTTCCTGTACTTGTTGGGCTAAGCAGATCTCAGCCTCCTTTGCATTTGCCGTCTCAGCAAGAACAGCTGCCTCCGTTTTCTGAGGCAAGACAGTGAGATCCTTAATTTGTTCTAATAATTTGGTTTTTTCTTGTTGAAGTGTTGCTACCCTCTCTCTTGTGAACCTTAACTTGAGCTCAGCGTTCCTTAACCATTGAGCTGATAGTTCAGTCTTCTCACTAAGTGCTGCGATCTCCTCATCTTTTAAGCTCATGCAGATCACAGCTTCCTCGACACTTTGCTTGAGAGCAGTTACCGTGGACTCCAGCTGTCTAGCTTCCTCGTCGGTATATTTTGGCATTGTTTCGTGCTCAGCATGCGTCTTCTGGTTTGTTGATAATTTGATGTTTTCTTGTTTAAGTGCTGCGATCTCCTTATCTTTTGAGCTTATGCAGATAGCAGCTTCCTGCAACCTTTGCTTCAAAGCAGTTGCCGCAGTCTCCAGATGCCAGGCTTTTTCGTTGGCATCTCTACGCACTACCTCCATGTTGTGAAGATCAGCAGCTTGTCTCTGCAAGTAATTTGATAATTTAGCATTTTCTTGTTGAAGTGCGGCGATCTCCTGATCTTTTGAGTTAATACAGAAACCAGCTTCCTGCACCCTTTGCATATTAGCATTTAGCACAGACTCCAGCTGCCAGGCTTTCTCGTTGGCATTTTTACACACTGCCTCCATGTTGTGAAGATCAGCAGCTTGTCTCTGGCAGATTTCTAATAATTTCATATTTTCTTGTTGAAGTGCTGCGATCTTCTCATCTTTAGATTTTAAGTAGATTTCATTTTCCTGGTCCTTTTTTCTTTGAGCAGTTAGCTCAGATTCCAGCTGCCTAGTTTTTTCGTGGGTATTCTGACGCGCTGTCTCCATTTTCTGAGGCAAGGCAACAAAACTTTGGATTGTTGCTGATAACTTGATGTTTTCTTGTTGCAGTGCTGTGATCAGCTCGTCTTTTGAGCGTAAGTAGGTCTCTGCTTCCTGCACCTTTTTCCTTTCAGCAGTTAGCTCCGACTCCAGCTGCCTAGCTTTCTCATCGGTATATCCAAACCCTGCATCCATTTTCTGAGGCACAGCAACATTTTTCTTAGTTGTTTCTGATAACTTGATGATTTCTTGTTGCAGTGCTGTGATCATCTCATCTTTTGAGCGTAAGTAGGTCTCTGCTTCCTGCACCTTTTTCCTTTCAGCAGTTAGCTCAGACTCTAGCTGCCTAGCGTTCTCATTGATATATCCAAACCCTGCATCCAAAGACACAGCAACATTTTTCTTAGTTGTTTCTGATAACTTGATGATTTCTTGTTGCAGTGCTGTGATCATCTCATCTTTTGAGCGTAAGTAGGTCTCTGCTTCCTGCACCTTTTTCCTTTCAGCAGTTAGCTCAGACTCTAGCTGCCTAGCGTTCTCATTGATATATCCAAACCCTGCATCCAAAGACACAGCAACATTTTTCTTAATTGTTCCTGATAACTTGATGATTTCTTGTAGCGAAGCTATGATCCTCAAATCTTTTGGGCTTAAACAGATCTCAGCCTTCTGACCCTTTTTCCTTTTAGGAGTTAGCTCAGACTCCAGCTGCCTAGCTTTCTCGTTGGTATGTTGACGAGCTTCCTCTAATTTGTTGAGCTCAGCAGTGAGATCATTGGTATGTTGGGCTAAACTCCTGTTTTGATGTTGAAGTTCTGTGATCAACCAGTCTCTGGAGCTTAAGGCTCTGTGAAACTCAATCTTAGAAATCATATTACGTCCGGTCTTTTTGTCAGCTCCACGTCCTCCATGAACAGCTTTCTCACTTTGAAGTTGTAAAAGTGGATTTCTTCCTGGATTTTCAGGCTTTGCAGCTTTAGCTGGTCCCTCAACACGAGCTGGGGCTGGTTGCAATGGCTTCACCACAGGCTTAGAAGCACAAACTTGACTCAAAGTGGGTCCCGCTGCTATTTTTGGAGCATTTTCTGGCTTTTTCTTACTCGTAAGAACTTGAGCCCAAGTCACATTTCCAGAAGGGTTTGTAGCTGTGTTACCAGATGTAGCTCCCATAGTATTACCTGATTTAGATATGGTTGACATGGCGGCTATAACGTTTAATTCACCTGATTTGCAAATGAAAAAGGACGAATTGGTCAATTCCAGCCTTAGTTGCTGATTCAAGTCAGCCTCCTAAGGAAAACAATAAAATTGTTGGTTGGATTAAAACACAAAGCTTTGTTTTAAACTAAAAGCTTCTTTTTCTGATAACTGGGCAGATTTGTTCTGTGGAAAAGGCTTTACTTTTCTAATTACAAGGAGTTAACTCAAGAGATGCACACGTTACAGGAGAATTCCGGAAATTGAATGCTTGGTAGTATTCTGATGTCTGTAATGATGTCATCAGAATTCTAAACTATATGGGCGGGAACTATAAACTCCGCCCACATAAGTCAAGCCTGGCTGTAGGTTCTACATACTCTGAAAAAATAATTCAACAGTTTTTGGCTTTTCCTTAATCATATTTAGTTACTTTAACTTTTTTTATTATTATTTTAACAGGGTAGGACATAAAACAATTTTTTTTTTTACAGTTTCCTCTCTGGCAATGTGGCAATAAGAATAATTGTCTTGATGCCAAAAAGAGCCCAACAGTTAAACTGTTAAAAAAGTTCACACCCATGAGTAGAGGTAATGCAGCCTGATGATATTTACACCGCATCAGATACCGTTCCCCCCATGTTAAGCAGGGGGAACGTTATCTGAAGGGGTTTATAGGCCCATGAGATAGCGTTTCCCCCCCGATGTCATTTACGTTGAGTTGCAATAAATGCAAAACTCTCTGCAGGTACTTGTCTTTGTCGTCCGCTCTATTCAGCTGGCTTTTGAAACACAAGGAGAGAAGGTGGGGGCCGGGTGGTGAGGGTTACGAGGTCGAGAAATGCAAAAGTAATGGGATAGTTACTTTTACTTCGAACTAGTTACTTTTATTGTGGAGTAACTCAGTTAGTAACTCAGTTACTTTTTGGGAAAAGTAACTAGTAACTATAACTAATAACTTTTTCAAAGTAACGTGCCCGACACTGTTCGTAACATATGGAACAATCAGATCTGTGATATAAGATTAAGCTTGTTTATTTGGGGTTTTGTTTTGTGAGAAGGACAATTTTAAACAGTAAGCCGATTAAGGGAAGCTAAGATAAGATAACTAATACCTCTCTTTTTTATTGTTATCAAAACTGGTCGCATTTTGGATCAGCCTTTTTAGTTGTTGCGATATTCTGTATTTGAAAGAAAACAATTCTAGAAAGCTCTTTGACATGGGTTTTAAATGGGAAGTCCTTATCAAAATTAAAGGGGAACACCGTTTTTTTTTTAATTGGGCCCTTGATTTTATGTTATTACACCATGTTCTACTCACCCATATTAGTTTTGTGTCATTTGGAGCTGTTCTGAAGATATTCCATTCATAATGTATTCTTTATGGTAGTGTTAATTTTAGCTGCCATTTTTAAATTTAGTTTTAGTTTTAGTCCAGTTTCAGAATCGCTTTTTAGTTTTTATCATATTTAGTCGACATCATCCCATTTTTATTTAGTCTAGTTTTAGTCGACTATAAGCCAGAGCATTTTAGTCTTTATTTTAGTCCAAGAAAACATAATTTTATTCGTATAGTTTTAGTCAAGAAAAACTGTCAACATTTTATTCTAGTTTTAGTCAGGACATAATTTTAACCTTTTACTTTTTTGTCAGCAGATAATATTTAACATTTCCTAAAATTATTACGCATTTCAACATTTTCTCTCATCTTTTTGATAAAAAAAAAAAACACAATTTCAAGGAACACATGCAGACATGGAAGATGTTCTAAAAATATTTGCATATTTATTTTGAACATTAAAACAAATAAAATACACCTGACAAAGGAAACAAATAAATTAAATAAAATGTCTTATGAACTTTACACAAGTGCTGGCTGTTTAAAGCTAGTTCACATAGAATAATAAAATAAATAGAATTGAGATCAATGTTGTTTAAAAAAAAAAAAAACTCCAACTGAGTTTCCTGCCAGCTAGTTCACATAGTATATAAAGGTACAGTATTTAAGGTGAAAAAGGCATAGTTTTCTTGTCCTGAGAGTCAGCTTTGTATTTGGTGTGGGCAATTAAGGAAGCTTGTATAGCTGGCCTGTCATTGTTTCTGGGTGGTTGTTGGTGGTGGTGTATCTTCAGTCTGGAACAGAAATTAATACAATGTCAGGATAGGTCTGTTTTTTCCTTGACAAAAACTAAGTCTCTGTAAAACTACATTTGACAATCCATTTCAAACTCATACAAACAACCTAACTATCATTTTATGCAGAAATAAATTGCAGACATTTTTATGTGTGCATGCATTTTGGTTGTATTAATATTGATGCCAATTCAAATCAAATGTCCTTGTAATAGTAATTTGCAGATAAACAGAGCAGCCTTTTATGTCACCAAATAAAGACATTGGGAGTTTGCGTCCCAATCCCTGTAGTGGTTCCCCTAGCAATGGCTATTTTGTGTATGAAAATCTAGGTTAAAGTTGTTCTGAATTATGTGTGGCATATTATTTTTATTTTGTCTTATCCTGATAAATAGTTTCAGTTCGTTCTATCATTTAGCATTCATGTGTAGCTGCCGAGGTGTTTTGTGTTAACTATAGTTCACTTGCAGCTCCTAGATTACCTAAAACGTCTGTCTGCTTTAATCAAACTTGCAATATAACAGAAACTATAGTTGCCCGGCCAGTATAACATATCTAAGTTAGCATAAATTTAACTTTACATACAGTATATCACCTGAGCATCCAATGGCCCCTTTAACACGTTGAACCATTTTGTACTAAATAAATACAGGCCCATAGCATGATGCCTCCATCTCCATCCACATGTGTTGGGAAGATGTTCTTTATGAACCTTTCCGCTCCTCTAAACATACCAAATAACTTGATTGGGGACTCTTCAGACAGCAGCACCCTTTCTGAATGATTGAGATGTCTCGGAGCAAATTCAGCAGGAGCCTGTAGCTTTCATAAAAGGTGGCTGCTAGATTCCAGTCTTTTAGAATGTCCCAAGTGCTTTTAGCTCATTAACAGCCTCCAACTGTCTAGTTGTCAGATGATCCATCACATTTCTTTTAATCATCCTAAAACAATGAAGCTGGATTTAAATTGAAGCTTCAGATTGAAAGCAAATAATGGTCCTTTTATGCTTTCAATAATCTTAACAGCGGGTGCTGGCTTCTAAGCAATGATTATTTATTTTTTAAGTTAGCAAACAGTGCTCTGCAGAACTTGAGTTATAAGAAGCTGGGATCTATGTATTTGTGTCTTAACTTCTATGTGATGTGTGTTGATGTCATGTTCCTAAAACATTGGGCTTGAAACTGCCTCTACTCCCCAATGCTTTGCACTTTTTGTTTCCTGTTTTTTTTCTTCTTCCTCTGGCATTCAGACCCTATTACCTTCCTATCTCCAAGCTTTTGTCTGAATAAATGACCAAAAATAAAACGGTGACTAGCTCCCTGCCTGTTTCTCCCGTGTTGTCCGTAATGGTTCGTATCAATCAAAGCAAACTGCCTTGAACACAGGGCTCTCTCCTCTCTTCCCCTTTCCCTCCCTTCCACCTGGGTTCTCCTGGCCTTTAGTGCCAATGGAGCGCTGTTGTTTGCAGATGATTTTCTAATGGCAATGCTCTGGCACTCAGCTGATGGATCACTGCCTCTCCTGCAGCCAGCCATGCCAGTCATTGCAGCTTTAATGACGAAAGCTGCTGGGGGTGGAAAGATTAGTGTCAGTGTCATTGCCTGGGAGATAAGACACTCTGGTCTTAATGTTGGATTGCACATGTTTTAAAGAATCATATGTAAAGTTCTCCATCCTAAAATCAAGTAATGTCACACTTCACTTGTAGTTTTCATCTCCCAGAATGTTACAGATGTCTTTAGAGTATGATAAAATCTGCTGACCCTTTTCTTAATATTTGTTTCATTTAAAAGAATTAGCTGAGTATCATTTGTGTTTCTGTTCTCTCACCACATGTTGCCATTTTTTCACCTGGAACATCTGGTTTTCACCTGTAAAGCGACCATCATCTCCTTTTTTGCATTTTTATAGTGTTGATCCCACTTTTAGGTTATCTGACTCATGAATCATGATA